GCCAGGGAAGGCCCCCCCAGCTGGCCTCTGGGGAGGAGAGGATGTGAGTGTTTGGCCCCCCCAGCTGGGCTCTGAGGGGATAGAGGGAAGAGAAGCTGGAAGTGGGTTATCGTAGGGGCTTCTTTAACTCTCTACTCTTGGGGGAATTTTTGTGTGTGTTTATATTGTTACAGACAAACTTGCTGACAGGTATTTTGAAATAAATTACCAAAATAATTGAAATTCTTGTGATCATAGTGTTACTTTGACAAATAAAATTTACAGAATTTTGCAGAATTTTTAATTTTTTGGTGCAGAATTCCCCCAGGAGTACCGTATGCTCAGGGTCCAACTGGTTGCCATATTTGGGGTCAGGATTCTCCTGGGTCAGATTGGCAGAGACCATGGGGTTTTTTTTGCTTCCTCTGCAGTCACAGGTCACTTGCAGGTTTAAACTAGTGCAAATGGTAGAGTCTCTGTAACTTGAAGTCTTTAAATCATGATTTGAGGACTTCAGTAACTCAGCCAGACGTTATGGCTCTATTACAGCAGTGGATGGGTGAGGTTCTGTGACCTACAATGTGCAGGAGGTCAGATTAGATAATCACAGTGGTCCCTTCTGGCCTTAAAGTCTATCAAACTATGAGCAACAGCTGGGAGAATAGCAAATAATATCCCTTCCAGCAATCTCCTTCCCCTACCAAAATTAATAATGGAAGTGCTTAACATAACAGCTCTATTATTTGTTTCCCTTCCTCTGTGCAGCTGCTTACCTTGTAAATGCCTCACAGCAAGGACCTACTTTCCATGTCTGAAGTGCCTAGTCCACTGTTGGCATTAAAATAATAATAAAATATACACAAAAGTGTGTGTCTGTGTGAATTACTATTGCACGTTTATGATTCTTACTTGGCTATTTTGCTGAAGCTGCCTTTACCACATATTCCAAATTAATTGTCACCATTATAGTGTTATACAAAGTTAGAGGTATGTTATCAACAAAAGGATGTAAATTAAACTTGTCAGACATATTACAAAAAGTAAATAAAATTGTAACAAGAGGAAGAAAATTCTAGCAAGAAGACTAGGAGCATCTGAGCTAGAAAACCTGTCCACAGGCACAATCTAGTGGTAGATAGAGATATTGCAATGCAAGTACTGGTGCTTAAAGAGCATGTTCATTTGTAACTCTATATGCTTTAAAGGAATAACCTTTATATTTTTTAGGGAGGCAGCACAGACTAAGGAATAGGACACTAGAAAAGAAATCTATTTCCAGCTCTGCCAATGACTCGCTGTGTGAATGGGAGCAAATCACTTCATCTTTCCATGCCTCTTCTCTTTTTACCTTTTGTTTGTATTGTCTCTTTAGATTATAACCTTGGTGGGTCAGTGACTGTCTTTATGTCTTTGTACAGCGCCTAACACGATAGGGTCCCCCAAACTTGGTTTAGGCCTCTAGGAGCTACCATAACATCAATAATAGTAATTAATACCATGAATAAATAACACCGCTCCCCAAAGACGACCTGTGCTTGCCAATAGTGGAGGGGGGAACAGAGTGAGGGAAGCCGGCCTCAGCAGTGTTTCTGAGCATGCTCAGTACAAGCCAAGCAGCAAATCAGGTGGCGGGGACTGTGATCCCACATGTCTCACCTCACGCGTCGCTTCTGCTGCTCCCTGTGTGAAATGAAGAAGAAATAATAATGGTGCCTGTGAGGTGGTGGATAGCATCCGAGGGTAATCATGCATGATATAGATTAAGATTAGAGAAAAACATATGAGTGAGAAACATGATAAATGAAATAGGAGCTGCCTTCTAACATGCAAGACCAATACAGCCAATAACTCTCTAGGAGGAGAAGCCTCTATACATGCAGAAACACATCTTGAATCAAGGGCAAAGACACTTATCTCACCCCAGACCTATGCTATGTAAATAGATGCCATTATACCCAAATTATGTATGCACAAAGTTCCTGGGTTTACTCTGAATATGTACACTGTTAAACAGGGATAATAAATGGCACAAGCAAAATGTAGCTTAACTCCAAGATGTAGCAGAATTTCCAAAGAGCTCCAGCTAATAGATTTGTATTCAGGCCAACCGCTATTCTGATTCTCTCTTCTCTCTCAAATTCTGTTCCAATAGTCTCTAGCAGTGAAAGATCCCCATCCAAACCTCAGACACATTGGTTGCTTTGCAACACAAAATGAAGCCCATCTGATTTCAGGTATCAATGACCCTCCCTCCTGATACAAGGGCTCACGGACCTACATTTTCAGAGTAACTAGTAATTTGGGTTCTCTCAATTCTGACACCTTAAAAGGGGCCTGATTTTCATGGGTACACAGCCATTTCTGAAAATCAGGCATCCAAACGATGTCTCAAATTGGCCACCCAAAAATCACTCGTTACTTTTGAAACCAAAGAGCTCAACAAGTCTGAAGAGGAATCCTTCTCATTCAGTTAACTCAGTTTGTTACTAAAGTCTTGTCTACCCTGGGAAATTGTCTGGATTAGCTATTGCAGAATCAACTATTATGGAATAGCTCCCCGTGTGCACACACTATTCCAGAATAAAAGGGGGTAAATTTGTAGTGGTTTTTAATGCTGCTGAGGTGAGGCATGGGGACATGTCCTATTTTTCAGAATTCATTATTTTCACATCTCAACCAGTTTAACTAGAACACAATTAATTGTTTCCCATGTATAATTAAAGTCTCATGGTCATACAGGTAACGGATTTTCAGAAAGGACTGCGGTTTGGCTTAAGTCTGACGCCAGTAGACTCAATGATAAAACTCCCATTGACTTTAACAAGAGCAGAGAGTTAGGGTAACTCTCAGCTCAGCACTTTTGAAAATACCTGATTATTACCCAGTGACTTCTGGCTGTTATCAAGGTTTTGTCAAGGGAAAGAATAAAAAAGAGAAATACATATGAAAAAAAATAGTTAATATGGAAGCCATGAAAAAAGTAGGGTGATTTCCATCTTATGTCAATACATAAAGGTATAATTACTTCTGTATTCGCAAAAAGAAAAGGAGTACTTGTGGCACCTTAGAGACTAACCAATTTATTTGAGCATAAGCTTTCGTGAGCTACAGCTCACTTCATCGGATGCATACTGTGGAAAGTGTAGAAGATCTTTTTATATACACACAAAGCATGTGTATAATACCTCCTCCCACCCCATTCTCCTGCTGCTAATAGCTTATCTAAAGTGATCAATCTCCTTACAATGTGTATGATAATCAAGTTGGGCCATTTTCAGCACAGATTCAGGTTTTCTCAAACCCCCCCCCCCCCCCACACACACACACAAACCCACTCTCCTGCTGGTAATAGCTTATCTAAAGTGACCACTCTCCTTACAATGTGTATGATAATCAAGGTGGGCCATTTCCAGCACAAATCCAGGGTTTAACAAGAACGTCTGGGGGGGGGGGGTAGGAAAAAACAAGGGGAAATAGGTTACCTTGCATAATGACTTAGCCACTCCCAGTCTCTATTCAAGCCTAAGTTAATTGTATCAAATTTGCAAATGAATTCCAGTTCAACAGTTTCTCGCTGGAGTCTGGATTTGAAGTTTTTTTGTTGTAATATCACAACTTTCATGTCTGTAATCGCATGACCAGTTAGATTGAAGTGTTCTCCGACTGGTTTATGAATGTTATAATTCTTGACATCTGATTTGTGTCCATTTATTCTTTTACGTAGAGACTGTCCAGTTTGACCAATGTACATGGCAGAGGGGCATTGCTGGCACATGATGGCATCTATCACATAGGTAGATGTGCAGGTGAACGAGCCTCTGATAGTGTTACCAGCAGGAGAGTGGGTTTGTGTGTGGGGGTGGGGGGGGTGAGAAAACCTGGATCTGTGCTGGAAATGGCCCAACTTGGTTATCATACACATTGTAAGGAGAGTGATCACTTTAGATAAGCTATTAGCAGCAGGAGAGTGGGGTGGTAGGAGGTATTTTTTCATTTTTTCATTCATTCTATGTATATAAAAAGATCTTCTACACTTTCCACAGTATGCATCCGATGAAGTGAGCTGTAGCTCACGAAAGCTTATGCTCAAATAAATTGGTTAGTCTCTAAGGTGCCACAAGTACTCCTTTTCTTTTTGCGAATACAGACTAACACGGCTGTTACTACTTTTGTATTATCACTAAAATACCAGCAGGCTGTGCTTGTGCACCAGTTTTCTAGCTCATACATAACTAATCTTAACTTTCATTTTAAGTGATGCCAATTGTGCTTTGTCATTGAAATTGTGATTACAAAAAAAAAAATACGCAGCCAACTAGTCTCATTCATAACCTCTGCTGCTCACATACTCCCCAACTCTCTAAAGTATTAATAATGAAGACAATGTTACAGCCTAACAAGATAAAAATAAGCCGTAGGTGGAGAGACTGGAACAGCCTCTGTTTTTCTAATAAACGTAAAATGAGGTTAAATTTCTGTTAAAAATGATCAGGGACTCGGAGGATTGGCTTGACAGACTTGACCACAGTGATCTACAGAACTGTAACTTCAGTCCTATGTAGGGGAGTAAAGTTTTGAAGCCAGACTCTGTAGGAACTCCAGCAGTTACAGAATGCAGATGCCTGCCTGCCTGCTGGGCCAATAAAGAACACTTCATTCTGGTACACCAATAAATTCATTGGCTACTCCTCAAATATCAGATATAGGGTAGAGTCCTGGTTCTGATCTTCAGGCTGTTTTACCTCTTGATACCTCATAAGCCAACCATAGACCTCCAGTAAAACTCAGTTTCTTCAGCGGGATAGGAGATAAAATGAACAGTAGCATAGCTCTCAAAGGAGCACACACAGAGAGTCTTTCTTACAAGCTGCCATCTCGTTGAGCCCTAGGTTCAGTAACTGACCAGTTTTGAACTTTGACATTTAATAGGTGCTAGTGTAGCACAGAAAAAGTCACCACCAATTCACAAAGCCACTGTACTGACACCACAAGAGTGTTCAGTGGACCGTCTCAGAACTTACCTCTCCCCTCTGCAGCCGAGACAGTACACAACAGCAATGATCCTTCAGAAAAATGGCGCTCTCAAAAGCAAGAGATAGACTACTGGCAGCTGGAGAAAGCATCTTTTCAGCCTGTGGCCAAACTTCCTGTAGAATGTTCCTTCCACAAGAGTTAAGAATGCCTATAACATGGCCATCTTCTGACTCTTATCTGCACCATTGCTTTTCCATAATAATCTATGAAAGAGAAAAAGACACTCTCATCGTACTCCTAGAAAAGGGGAAAGGAAGAGACTTATGTCAACTTATAAACAATTTGTTCATTCGCCACATGGATGGTGTACACCAGAACTGAGAAAATGATCCATTAAAAGACATGAGAGACTGGTAGTTTAGATTTGGAACAGCTTGGTGTTGCTAAAAAGGGAATATCTGGCTTGCCTGTGTAATGATTTTAGTTGTCAATGTGCTTCTCTGAAGCATTGTACGTTACAGTATCCTTTATGTTGTCCTGTAAATGCACCTCCACTGACCCAAAAGAAATACAGCTGGCAATAAATCAATTTTTGACATTAATGGGAAAAAAAAGTGGATTTTTCTCCTCCCAAACTGTCCTGGATGATCACTTACTGCCATCTGCTCTTTGAAGCATGCCATCAATTCATAAAATGGGGCCAAGATTTTCAAAAATAGTAAGTCTACACTTAGACTCCTAAATCCATCTTTAGGCATTTACCTGATCTTCAAAAGCACTGGGTACCCATCGGCTCCAGCTGACCTCGCCTTTCAGTGAAGTTGAGGATATTAAGCACCTAGCTACCTTACAAAGTCTCCTTTTAGGGTGCAAATTTTCAAAAGTATCTAGTGATTCTGGATTCCTTAGTTTTTGGGTATAAAACTCAAGACTCAGCACCATCCTCCAGAAAAAAAAAAAAGTCAAGCTCCATTAGGCTGTCCAACTGGGCATCCAAAATTTAAGGGACCCAAAAATCACTAATCATTTTTGGAAATTTGGGGCAGTGCCTACATTTAGCCTCCTGCTTTTGAAAACCCTGGCCTGGAATTTTAATTTCTTCTTTATGAACATATCTAAAGAGAAACCTAATTTCTGAGTGTTACAGCATTGAAAATAGTTTTTATAAAGTATCAGAACTCTTTACACAGTTTTAGAGGGGTGCATATGGTCCATCACATTACATTAAAGACTTTAAATAGCATCCACGAATCTCTCTTACAGCACCTTATTGAAACATAACATTCGTTTTAACTTCAAGTGGATACGAAAAACACATTCTACTATCAACTGTGTATGTAGCAAATATGTCCGTGAAGACATTTTTTTGCCCTAGTGGAGATTTGTGTTGATATAATACACTAGTTATAAAATATAAAAACCTGAAAAGTATACAAGATGTTTTCACTGTATTAGTGACTATCATTTTGATGTGAAACCCACTTTAATGACTACCTGTCAAAGAAACCTTTTAAAAGGAATGATTTTCCTTGACATGAATGCATTCAACGACTGTTTGTTGAGTGATATCTTCTTAAGCAGCTAGCAAAAGAACACAGTATCACTGTATATCAGTGGTTCATCACCCTTGCAGCACTGAGGATTGTAATGGCAACCTGTCAGCAGCCTGAGGGCGGCACTTAAGTTGCAAATAAATTTACATAAACAGATATATATGTATATAGGATGTTGTTTATATTGTTTTTACCTATGTCTATATTAAAAGTGCTTTAACATTGCAAAATGACAACATATGCCTTGAGGGCTTCACGGCTTTGATTCAGTCAAAGCAGGGTCCCAAACATCCAGCTCCTATTGAGATGGTCACACATTCTATGGAATGAAGTTCTGAGACTGTTAAGCGATTGCAATGTTTGGATTTGTTCAGAGGTCTGTTCACAAATATATAAATATCTCCAAGATCCTGTACCAATAGCAGCCCTCATACCAAACTCTAGATTATCTCTCCCTTGACAGACCTTTATACAAATTCAGCACATTTCATTCATAAAATGCGGACTGAGGTGGACGTAAGCATCATGAGCCAGATCCCGAGCTGACATGAAGGGGCACAGTTCCATTGAGTTACGCCATCCTCCAACCCAGCCCCGGAATCAATAATTCCTGCTGAACTTCAGCTCCACTTCTTCAGACTGAGCTGAAAACCAGGGTGCAGACAAGCTGAACAGGGCTGTGACTCATATTGCTTGAGCTTTGGTTGGCAAATCAGGCAGAAGTCCATTTTTCTGAAGCTGCTCAGAATAACATACTACTGCAAGGACAGGCCTCTACTTCACTGGCAGCTGCAGACAATGGTACCAATTCCCTTGGGCTCCCAAGGCAGAAAGCACCAACCCCCTCCAGCCCACTAGCTTAGGACCTTCAAGCAAAGGCCTCTCTGCAACTTCTGCTCTCCCAGCAAAGGTCCCAACTAATCCAAAACTTCCTCTTTTCAAACACCTAAAACTAGTATTTTGGCAGAGGCGGGAAGCCAAGAAGCAGATTCAGACTTGCAGAGAGCAGAGTGCTCCCTTAGCCTTGCAGAGAATAGCAAACCCTACTGCAGAGAGAGCCTTCTACGAGCTACCCTGGCTGGCTGCTAGCAAGCTCCCAGAATCTAACACACAGAGATATGGCACTTAAGTATCATATTTATATTTTAAATAGGACTTTGCACCCTCTACTCTAATATTAAAACTATAAATGTCTGATTTATGTCCATATGGGTCTTGGACAGTTTTATTTTTTTATATATAGCTGTCAGTAAATATGAGTATTGAAATTATCTTGTAACTTTAATGGAAGCTATTTCAGGTAGAAACCCTTTTCTTATCACTTCAGACCTGATCCTGAATTCCTTGCACACCCCAAACTCCCATCAACACCTACAGAAGTTTAGAGTGCACAAGGACTACAAAATCAAGCCTTATCATAATGTAACAATATTGCCTAAAATAAATGATTGAGAGATCTAAATAATGACTGGTACCTCGACAAAATAGGGATTGGCTCAACAGAAACACATACAGTAAAACCTCAGAATTATGAACACCAGAATTACTAACTGACAGGTCAACCATACACCTCATTTGGAACCGGAAGTATGCAATCAGGCAGCAGCAGAGAGGAAAAAAAGCAAATACAGTACAATACTGTGTTAAACATAAATTGCTAAAAAATAAAGGGCAAGTTTTAAAAAAAAGATTTGACGGAGTAGGGAAATTGTTTTTGTGCCTGTTTCGTTTAAATTAAGATAGCTAAAAGCAGCATTTTTCTTCTTCAAAGTAAAGTTTCAAAGCTGTATTAAGTCAATACTCAGTTGTAAACTTTTGAAAGAACAACCATAACGGTTTTTTCGGAGTTATGAACATTTCAGAGTTACAAACCACCGCCATTCCTGAGGTGTTTGTAACTCTCAGGTTCGACTGTAACTGGCTAATATTAGTGTATATTGAAGGGTTTATTTTTTTGAACATGACACTTTCACATTTGAAGGTACTCAAATTTACAACATAAGTGACCCTTTTCAAGTTGTGAATTAGCTCTTTATGCAACAGCAGATCAACATACAGTAGACTAGAATTTTTAGCCTCATCCTCTTTGCAGTTAATGACATCCATGCAATTTCTATATTAATGAGATCTTTCAACAACAGCTTTTAGTTAATGGGAATCCCTGGGGCTAAAGTCTGTGTTGACTCATACCCCACCCAACACCATGGACTTTGGCCGTATACATTAATTCAGAATCTAATCTGCTTTGATAGGTTCCAGTGACCAAATCTTAATTGTTTTTTTTTTAAAATGTGTTGCAAACAGCTTGTGCTGTATAATTAACAATAGCCTGCAAATTGCTGGAGAGACATATGCTGATAAGGAGGAAGGATGGTCCTGTGATTCAGGTACAAGAGTGGGAGTCACCAGATCTGGGTTCTTTCCCTAGCTCTGTCAGCCTCTTCTTGTGTGACCTTCAGCAAGACAAAGCCTCTCGGTGCCTAAGTCTCCTCATCTGTAAGAAGGGGGTAATAATACTTCCCAATCCCAAAGGAGTGATGTGATGTGATTCACTAATGTTTGTAAGACTGATTTCCTTGGACAGAAGAAACTATACATTTATGAAACAGAGCCCCCTTGAAGGTTCACGACTGTCTCAGCAACTCTTGAGAGACCTGACACACTATAGCTAACACTGTTGGCATGATATGTATCCAGAAGGTAGCATGTAATATATCACTAGAAAATGTATAACTCACTGATCATTAATATTCTTGTATGATGTATGCTCAGAGTGTGTACAGACAGTTATAAATTTGTGCTAGAATTATGTTCTTAAAACGTGTTTGTCAAGAATGCATAATCCCACTCTGCCCAGACAAAGCAATGTATACTTGCTTGTCTGACTGTGACATTGCACTCTGTATGATTTTATGAAAGTATGCTGATGAGTGTGAATATAATGTAACTAAAATATGCTTCATGCAAAAGGTATCTTCTAAGGTATCATTACAAAGCTTATAATCTACTGAGTGTGGTCATCCTATTTGTATAAATGTATCACTCTTGTATCAGAAACTAGAAATATGAAATATAACTCTGAGGTCCTATTGTAGTTATGCAAAGTGTGGGCCATTAATGGTGGTTTGGAATCTTAATGGCTCCCATTAACCAGGACAACTGACTGTAGATGGCTCTGTTTTACTTGTAAGTTTTCCTGTATACCTGTATCCTGGCAAGTGGGTAATGAGGTCTTACAGTGATATGTGATCATGTCACCTGAACTGGAATCCATCTTTAACCTGGTGTTTTTCCATTGAGAAGAAGGTGGGGAACCCAGAGGGACAAAGGATTCCTGCCTTATGCAAAAGATATATAAGTGGGTTGAAGAGAACAAAGGGCGCGGCCATCATGAAAAATCCCCTAGCTACCACCTGAGCTGGAATGACAGCTGTACCAGGGGAAAGGATTGTGCCCAGACTAGGGAGGCGTCCAGTCTGTGAAAGAAACTTATTGAAACATCTTTGAGGATGAGATTTTATCTGTATTCAATTACTGTACTAGACTTAGACTTGCGTGTTTTATTTTATTTTGCTTGGTAATGCACTTTGTTCTGTCTGTTACTACTTGGAACCACTTAAATCCTACTTTCTGTATTTAATAAAACCACTTTTTACTTATTAATTAACCCAGAGTATGTATTAATACCGGGGGGGGGG